ACAGAAAAACCTGCCTGGAAAAATGAATGAATGAATGAATAAATAAATAATAAATAAAAAATATTTTTTAAGTTAAAATGCTGAGTTAGGGAGGGGGCTCAGTTGGTAGAGTGCTTGCATAGCATGCACAAAGCCCTGGGCTTGCTCTCATCACCTAATAAAATGAGGGGCAGTGGTGTGCCTTTTGGGGTGGAGGGGAGACAGGGTCTCTCTACATAGCCCTGGCTGTCCTAGAACTTACTATATAGACTAGGCCATCCTTGAACTCACAGAGCTCTGCCTGTCCCTACTTCCCAGGAGCCCCCATGCTTGTCCAGTGGTGTTCACTTGTAATGCCAGCACTCAAAAGGTGGCGGCAGGAGAAAATCAGAAGCCCAGGTTTGGTTCAGTGGACAACAGACTTTTGCCAGGCGATCTTGGCAACCCTAGTTGGTCTCCAGAACTCTTGTGAAGGAAGAGTGAGAGAACTGACTCCACAACGTTGTCCTCTGGCCTCACACACATTGTGGCATCCAGGCTTCCCCCCAACACTGGTAACAAAGGAGTTCAAGGTCACTCTTAACTAAATATTGAGCTTACAGCCTTGGCTACAAGAAACTGTCTCAAAACAAAGTACACTTTGCTGAATGTGTATGACTTTTGTACCACTGTAAAGTGGATGAAAAATAAATTGAGGCCAGGGTCTCACTGTGTAGCTCTGACTCTCCTGGAATTCACTATATAGATCAGGATGGCCTCAAACGCAGAGATCCACCTACCTCTGCTTCCCAAATGCTGGGAATGTGCTACCATGCCTGGCACAGCATTCAGGAGTCAGCATTAATCCCAGCATTCAGGAGTCAGAGGCAGGAGGATACCAGCTAGGGCTACATAGTGAATCCTTGTCTGAAAATAATAAAGTAAATTTAAGTAAGTTGGAGGCCATCCATCCATGGACAACACCAAGTATGTTTTTCCTTGTTCTGTCACCACATCACACCGGTGGTGTGTTCCCCAATGTGTACAATTGTGACTTTTGGTCATTGTAGGAAAGCACATAAACTCTTTTTTAAAAGATAGGGTCTCACTGTGTAACTCTAGCTAGTCTGGAACTCACTATGTAGATCAGGCTGGCCTTGGACTCAACTCACAGAGATCTGCCTGCTTTTTCCTCCTAAGTGCTGGGATCAAAGTCATAAGCCACTGTGCCTGGCTTAGATGAACTTCTTAAAGAAGCTAATTTTATAGTAAAGTTTTATTTGTTTGTTTGTTTTGTGTTTTGAGACTGCAATCCTCTTGCTTCAGCCTTCCCAGGGCTGGGATTACAGTGGTAAGCCATGCTTGGCTGGAGTTAATTTTTGCTTACAATGCTCCTCTATGGCTTCCTATTTGAGATAGTTACACCATTTCCTTTTTAAATTCATTTGAGAAAAAAAGGTAAAGGTGATTTTTTTCAACGCTAAGTAAATGCAATATAGCATGAGTGCCCTGTGGGGGCGGAACTGGAATAAACAGTGTGTGAAAGACAACGCAGGGGAAGCCCTGAGGCACCCAACATAGCAGTGGCTACAGCTATGACTATTGCTTGCATTATCTTTAAGGAGTGCTAGTTGAAAATTTACTTTGAGTCATCCTGAAATTTAAATATGTACGTATGTACAAATGTATGCCCCTATATGTGTATCGTGAGCTGGCTTTTGAGAAAGGGTTGGCTATAGAAAAACTAGAAATTTTTTGAGAAACAGCAAGTTTCTCAATTCTCTGCAAGGGGCTGGGAATCCTTTTAGTTATGGAAACCTCAGAGAAGTTTCTGGAAGGCCCTGAAGGGAAAGAGGTCAGTGATTTCTCTGGTTCTAATGAGGAACCCCCGAAACTGGGGGAATAGACATTCTATGCAGCCGGAAGGAGAAGGGTAAGAAGAGGGGTGGAGAAGAGGGGTATTCTCTCAGGCTCCTTCCTGATCTGAGCTATCCTGGGTTCCCAGAATTGCTGTAACAGTTCCCAGAACAGCCTGGAAAGGCCTCAAGGCTGCGCTGGGGACAGGTGAGGCAGAGGGCTGCCTGCCCATGGGCCAAGAGTAAGGGAATGTCTGCATCTCCTAAGAAGCAGGTGCTAACGGGCCGAGCAGCTACGACTACACATAAAAGCTGAGGAAAGGGCATTCCTGACCTTCATTTTCTCTTTGACAGAAGGGACTTTGCTCTCACCTTTTGATGGACGAGGCAACCTATCTACAATCTAGGGTCTTTCATTGCCAGGACTCTGTATTTTTTAAGCATACCATAAAAAGGAAAAAGGCCAGGGGTTAGAAATTGGATAGACCTGAACTCATAGTCTCATGCCCCACTGGATGAAGCTGCATGACTCTTTTCTTTTAAAGATTTATTTTGATTTATTATGTATACAGTGTTCTGCCTGCACAGCAGAAGAGAGCACCAGATCTCATTACAGATGGTTGTAAGCTGCCATGTGGTTGCTAGGAATTGAACTCAGGACCTCTGCTAGAGCAAGCAGTGCTCTTAACTTCTGGGCCATCTCTCTAGCCCAGCTGCATGACTCTTAAGTGAATTATGAAGCACAATATAGCTTACTATATACACTGTAGTATGTACTTACAAAGCGAAGTTTAAATTCCCCGAGCCTTGGCTTTCTGTTTGGAAAAATGGGAGGCACTAGTAATATGTCCCACTGGGTTACTATAAGGATTAAATGGAGGAACTCCTGTAAAGTCCTGTTGCAGGACAGCCTGCCTTCTTAGCATGTAGCTCCACATGCTGATATACAGAAGAAAATAAACCCTACAAACAAACAAATGAACAAAACCTGTCCAGGGTAGCAGCCCAAAACATGGGGGCTGTTGCTGTGGTACTGAAGCCAACACCCAGATAGGTGTGTGCTGCTGCAAGCATGCCGCCCAGAGGTGCTGCTGCCAACTGTGCTCTGGAGCAGACAGTAGCACCAAAGTCTGTGCTTCGGGCCTGCTTCGGGCCTGCCTGTAAAATAACAGGCAACCAGCAAATTTTAAAACAGCAAATGATTTGGGCTAAGCATGGTGGTGTATGCTGTTAACCCCTGCACTTGAGAGAGGGAGGCAGAGGCTGGTAGATCTTTATAAATTCAAGTCTGACTGGTCTACATAATTCCAGCATAGCCAAGACTACTTACTTTAAAAAGGAAAAAAAAAGGCAGGTTGTCACTATGGAGCCCTGGCTGGCCTGGAACTCACTATGTAGATCAGGCTGGCCTCAAACTCACAAAGCCGCCTGCCTCTGTCTTCTGAGTGCTGGAACTAAAGATGTGTTCCATTATGCCCAGCCAGGCCAGAAGGTTTTCTTTTTGAATTTTAATGCTGCCGGGGACAGATTCCATGGGAGACTGTTGTTGGTCTGGACTCAGAAGGTGACTGAATATGGATGGTCCCTGAGAATCCCAGCTGGGTCACAGCCTTCTGGAATGTCAATGAGTCAGCAAGTACTCTAGCCACTGGGCCTACCTAAGTGCAGTGGACTCCAAGCTCTGCAAGTAGGGTTTATGTGGAGAAGGGGCCAAAGGCTCAGCCTAGGGCTGGAGCTAGGGCTCTTTCCTCTCACTTTGGCCGGGGATGAGTATAAGTGATGCTTCTTGTTCATTTTTTCAGTATTCTCCCTCTCCTTCCTCTAATAAAACCCCGCCTGCACCCAAGCTTGGGTTAGCACATGACTGAGCAGCTAAGTATGGTATTTCCTGCTTCTCTTCAAGTTGGGTGCAGCATGTGACTAAACTGTGAGCAAGCACTGTATGTTCTACTTTCAAATGGGGCCCTTAAAAATGAGTAGGGAAAATGGGAGTGGTGATAAATGCCTGTAATCCCAGCACCCGGGAAGTCAAGGCTGGAGGACCACTGGAGTCCAGGAGTTTTGAGACCAGCCTGAAAAAGAGATCCTCGGTCTCAGAAAGGGGGAAAATATGTGTGGCTTCTTGTAACCTCTTTCCTGCCTTTCCACAGGCTGAGATGCAGATGTGATGGCAGCTACTAAAGCAGCTATTTGGGGCTTCAGAGTAGAAATGTATGGAGTGTGGCAGACAGTAAGCTAAAAGTAGCAGGAGCCCCAGTACAATAGAGTTGCCATCTGTAATTTAGGAATATTTACTCTTGGAGCTATTCTGTGTGAGAGAACTTTCTACCTGGTTTTGTCTCAGTGTCATTACAGCAGCCCTAACTCAGACCTCAGCAACTGAACACTTGGTTCCAACCATCTTCTCATTTGCTTCACTCTCCTGGAACTCTGGTCCTGAGAACCACCAAGAACCTTCACCCCAGTGGACCGGAACCCTGCCCTGGAAGCCAGCCTGTTATTCCATGCTTGGATTTGAACCCTCACCCACTTAAAAAAAAAAAAAATCCGCCCCATGTTTTTTTGTTTATTGGTTTAGTTTATTTTGTTTTGGAGACAGGATCTCTCTGTGTAACTCTGGCCATCCTGGAACTCACTCTGTAGACCAGGCTGGCTTCAAACTGAGAGATTCACCTGCCTCTGCTTCCCAAGTGTCAGGATTAAAGGCGTGTGCCTCTACCTCCCAGCCAATACTCCCCATGTTTTAAATCTTTGGTTGTTTCTTTTTTCATTTTGCAAATGGTATTAATAGTAACATTCTCTTTAAAAAAAGCAGTTTTATATAAATATGACCTCATCCTGTACGAGAATGTGTAGGGGCTGGCCACAGTTTGTCTCCAGGGTAGCAATGCAAAAAAACAAAGTAGTTTCCCACAAAGAGACCACAGAAAGAGGCACCCAAAAGTATCTGCATACATTACAGAAAGGTACCAGTACCAGGACCTGCTCAGTCTCCAGTCCTACACAACAAGGAAACTGCCATTCCAATACATACCCAAGAGAGACACTCCATGAACACATCCAGACACAAAACAGATGACACCACAAAACACAAGAAAGCTGTCGCTGTTATACTGTTTATTTTTCCTGCACCTCCCCCCCCCCTGTGGGGTGGGTGGGGGGGGGGGGGGGGCGGGATGTGGTGGGCCCTTTTGCTGGATCTAGAAGGGCTTTTTTGGTGTCCCTTCTCTAGAACCTCACTTAGGTAGGAAAGAGTCAAACAGGTCTCTGTCTTTGCCTGTATCTCCTAATCTCTCCAAGGTCCTAATCCATTGCTGGGTGTGGTTGTCCTGTTTCCATTGCTGGGTGTGATGTCTGTGGTCTGGCCTCATCTGTGGAGAGAGAAAGCAGGTGGTGGAAGGGGCAGAGACCTGGGTTTGAATTCTGGCTTCCCTACTTATTTTTTCTGTAGCCTCAGTGAAGTACTTGACTCTGTTAAGATTCAGTTTCCCTTTCTGTAAGCCAAATTTCCTCCCAATTGGAAAGGCTCTATGGGAAACTTCCCCCATTCTGGTCATCAGAGTGGAACTCGGAGTTAAATACGGGTCTCATTCTTGCTGTAGATGACACCCTATTTTTTTTTTCTATTTACTGGAATGTGAGTGTGCATGCATGAGTATCTACACATGAGTATTCTCATATGCTTGGGTCTCTGTGAGCATGTGGAGGTAGGTCAGAGGATGTTGAGGGCATGGTCCTTGTACTCCCAGAGAAGCACTAAGAGAACCAGGAATGTTAATCACACAGGGTGTCTCCTCAATGGAGGAGATGAAATCAAATACCTGCATTCCATCCAGAAAGCTGAGAATGGGTTTGTTAACAACCTGGTGACCAGGAGGCAGACCTCACCCTAATTCCCCAAAGTGATTATCCCAGACTCTTCCCTCCCTAGACCATTACCCATGTGGGTTTGTTAACAACCTGGTGACCAGGAGGCAGGCCTCCCCCTAGTTCCCCAAAGTGATTATCCCAGACTCTTCCCTCCCTAGACCATTACCCATCCTTGGGGGGAGATGTCACAAGTACTTTACAGCCTGCTGACCTCTATGCTGTTGGTCAGAGATCACACTAGATTCTAGGTCTTCTAGCTATAGAACCCATCCTCATGGTTACATGTACTTTGTAAAGGAGTCTCTACTGAGTCACGCTTTAAGTTTTATTGTGCACCTGGAATTGAACTGATTGGATTGATTGTTGCGTGGAAACCTTTTCCCAAATTGTACAGAGCTTAAAATAGGCTGACAGTGAACCGCCTGGTATTAGCCTCTCTGAAGCCTGATCCAGGTTGACAAAGTTGATCTGCACTAGGTTTTCGTTCCCATCTCTTCTCAGGCTCGATTCCCTGCCTGGATACCTGCAGGGTCCTCCTAAGGGGAGAACTTGCAATTGATTCTCTCCCCTTTCATCATGTGGGTCCCAGATGTCTAGCACAGGTTGTCACTGCTGGCAGCAAGTGCCTTTACCTGCTGAGCCATCTCACCAGCCCAGGGCTTGCTTTTGATTCCCCACTTCCTACTCAATTACACTCTTAGGCCTGTCACCCTAAGCAAAGCCACTTTTACTGGCTCTCTGGCTCGTGACTCCTCACCTCCAGCTCTGCCTCAGCGCCAGGCCTTTTTCCTTTCAGAGTTCTGGAACTTGGTCAGCAGCTTCCTCTCATGCCCACCAGGGCTAGGGCGGTTGGTATTGGTGGCAGCTTCTCTCTTGGTACGACCTTTCCGGCCTCCCCCGACTGGTGGAGCAACAGGTAGAAGGGACACGGGCAGAGGAGAGGTGTGAGGTTCAGAGGACAGACAAATGCCTGGGGCATAGGGATGAGAAGGGCAGAACAGCCAGAGGGCAGCTGGTGGTCGCCCTGTGAGGTTGGGGCACTCTATCCCTGCTGTTTACTAATGTATAGAATGAGAGATGCTTAGAAGCGAGCCCTCAGAGCTGAGGAGGACAGAACTCAGTATACGAGGCTAGATTGGATTTACTTTGGGGTAGGGAGCAGATTAGTTAGAGAAGGCAATCTGGGAGAGAAAATCCAAATCCAAGGAGGAGGATGAGAAGTCAAAGAGCTGCCCAGCAGGCCTACCGATATAAGGATGGGCCAGGCTGTACTGGTCATACTCATCCAGGATGTCATCTTCATCCTCTGGGTTTAGGGGTTGCTGGGAGGAGCTGGTTGTTGGTGGCAAGGTAGCCATCACCCTGCTCTGCCTTCTCCAAAGTCTTGCCTGTGTCTTGTTTTCCAGCTGTCTGCCCTCACCCAGTTCCCTCACCCCTGCTTATAAAGCTGTCTCCTCCTCAGACCACAGGCTGGCTCCCGCCCTTCAAGTCCTGTCTGATGCAATCTGGCCTTTCCCCAGAACTGGGCCCACAGACGCCAGCCCTGAGCAGAGAGGCACACCCTGCCCTTCCTCCTCCCTCACAGGGCTCACCCAGGCCCAGCTGTGTTTTTCCACATGGAAGACTCCTGCCTCTCGGGGAGGAGGGAGCAGACAGGATGTGGGCACAATCTTTGGCATGTTGGCCAGGGAGAGCAGAGGGCCTCAGATGGGCCACTCCTTATCATTTCAACCTCTGCCACAAGCCCTGCCTGGCTCTAGGTCATGGCTACACATTGCTCCCACCACCACTCTAGTCTGGTTCAGACTCAGGACTTGGTGGCAGCATACACCCTGAAAAAGGAGAGAGGAGGGGACAGTGACACGCTTCATGCCAGGTCAGCAGTTCCTATGCAGTCACACCCAAGGCTTCTATTTTTATGGAAAGTCCCCTTACTGTACTTCAATAGAGTCCCTAGGTACTTCCCCTCATCCAAGGAGATGCAGGCTAGCTAGCTGGTAGAGACAACAAACACCCTGGATTCAACACTCTGACCCTTAATCAACCTTCCTCTGCTCTTCCTTCTGACAGAGTCCCGTTATATAGCCCAGCCTGGCTCTTGAACTTGTAATTCTCTTGCCTCAGCATCCCAAATGCTTGAATTAGAAACTCAACAAGTCAGCTGAGATCCACTGTTTCCTGTGTGACCCTGGACATGTCACTCTCCCTCTCTGATTGTTCCAGTTTCCCCCTTTAACAGAGGATAACCCTACTGAAGGGACCAGACCCTCACCCAGTGCCCTGCTTTAGCAGCCATGACAGGCTGCAGAAAAGACCCAGCAAGATGTAGGCTTCTGACTCAGCACATGTACATGTTTGACCTTGCCAGACTGTGCTAGTCACTAGGAGGTCAGATACCCTCCACGTGGCAAGGAACCAATCAGAAGTTAGCTGGTAGGCTCTGGACATGCTTTACAGTAAAAGTGGCATAACAGTGGCATACAAAGTATAGCAACCGCCCTGGGAGGGCCATAACAACCCGTTGACCAATCAACACAGAATAGGTCATCCAAGCCTGGAAGTGCACCAATCCTGAGACTGTTGCGTACCCTTAGACACTCCCGTTGCTCTCCCCAATAAATTCCCTGCCTTGAGGCCCCTTCAGGTCCTTCTCATACCAACTACTGTGTTGGATAGATGAGGGAACCCAGATAAGACAGTTAACTAGTTAAACAATAAAAGACTCTTTGCTTTTGCATTGGCGAGGCCCCTTCAGGTCCTTCTCAGACCAACTACTGTGTTGGATAGATGAGGGAACCCAGTTAAGACAGTTAACTAGTTAAACAATAAAAGACTCTTTGCTTTTGCATTGGAATGGGTCTCGGTGATTTTGGGGTTCAGAATTTGGGCACACCTATCAATCTTGGTTGGTGAGAGTCTCCAGTGACATAATGCCTGGAAAGGCCCTTGCATTAGCTGCAAACAGCGTAAGGGTTTGTCCCAATTTCCCATGGTTTCCCATGCAGTGCCCTCACTGTGACAAAAAGAAGAGTGGAAAAAGAAGAATTTAGAATAAAATAAAATATTGTGGGCTCACAATATGGCTCAGTGGGTAAGGTACTTATCAACAAGCCTGGCAATCTGAGTTCAGGGGTGTCCAGGACACAGTGTCCCACATATTGTCCTCTAACCTTCAAATGCCCATACACACACATACAAATATATAAATGTGGCTTTTAAATGTTAAGTAAAATAATATATTGATGTGGAAGGCATGATGAAACAAACAGGTCTTTGTACGCCCCCACCCCCGCCCCATTTTAGGCATTCTTAATTTGTAGCTGTGGATAGCTTAGAACTCTCTCTGTAGACCAGGCTGGTGCTGAGCTTGGTGATCAACCTGCCTCTGCCTCCCGAGTGTTGGAATCAAAGGTGCACATCACCACATCCAGCCAGTATGAATTTAAGTATGAGTTAAGTATCAAGTGTTTTCCGTCCACACTGGCCTCCCCTGTGATGGATTATAGACAGGCATGTGCCACCAGTCTTAGAATTTTTGTTTTGTTTAAAGACTAGATCTTATCATGCTGGTCAGGTTAAGTCAATGTCCTAGGTTGAAATGATCCCCTTGCCTCAGCTTCCTGAGCAGTCGTGGCTACTAGTGTATGTATGTACACCATCATGCCAGGTCTTAGGTGGGAACTTGATAAAAGTTAATATGAATTTTAAGTTCAGAAAAGAAATATGTGAAGCCAGACAGTAGTGGAGCACACCGTTAATCCCAGCACTCAGGAGGCAGAGGCAGGCAGATCTCTGGTCTATAGAGTGAGTTCCAGGACAGCCAGAAATATACAGAGAAAACCTGTCTTGAAAAACTAAAAGAAAAAAAAAGAATCATATGAAATGGAGTTTTCTATTCTCTCTCTCCCTCCCTCCCTCTTTCTAATTGAAAAAAAAAAAAGTTTTCTGTCTGGAGAGATGACTGAGCAGTTAAGAACACAGGCTGCTCTTCCAGAGGACCCAAGCTCAATTCCTAGCATCTACATGGCAGCCAGAACTGTCTATAACTCCGGTCCTAGTGGCTCTGACACCTTCATACAGACATAGCAGGTAAAACACCAAAGCATCTAAAAAAAAAATTTTTTTTTTTAAGTTTCATACAATGTATTCTCATCAAGGTTTCCCTTCCCCAACTCCTCCCAGATCCTCCCCGCTCACCCAACTCCATCACTCTTTCTCTCTTTAGGAAACAAACAGGTAAAGTAATCACAACCATAATAACCATGAGAAATATTAATGAAAAAATGTTAAAAGGAGGACATGACTGCTCCAAGATATGGTTGGGGAGAGGGTTTATTGTAGATACAAGGGAAAGCACAGCCAGAGGTATCTGGAAGAGTCCAGACTGAACAACAAGGCCATGAGAGGAGAGAGGGGGAAGCAAGGGAGGAAGTGAAGAGAGACAGGAGAGGAGAGCTAAGGGAAGAGCCTCAGACCGTGTGGCCAAGAGGCAAAGAGAGTACCTGGAAACCTGGAGATCTAGAGAGAAAAAGGAAAAGAGACTGGTGTAGCCAAATGGCTGGGTTGTGTAGGAATCAGAGAAGCTTCGGGAAGGAAGCCCAGCCTGGGGCTGGAGGGTTAAGGGTAAGGCATGGGGTATGCCAGCCAGGATGTCTCTGTAACAGGTACTAGTAATGCTGAGAGAAGCTGAGGACAGCGTCTGCTTTTGATATGCCAATAGGTACCTCAGCCATTTGTGTGTGTGGTGGGGGTTGAGACCTAACAAAATACACACACACACACACACACACACACACACACACACACACTCTATAAAAACACAAAATCAGGATCCAGCTAGCCACTGAGGAAGTGTGACATGTAGAAAATGAGGAGAAATTTGAAATCACAAACTTGGACATGAAATCAGGGATGACCCTGAAGATTAAAGGCAAGATCCACAAGGATGTTAACAGCTTCACCATTAACCTGGGCCAGGGGCAAGACAAGCTGAACCTACATTTTAATCCCCGCTTCCACGAATCCATCATTGTCTGCAGGAGCTGGGGACAAGTCACTGAAGTCCAGGATCAGAGGTCAAGGTGAGGTGAAACGGGAGCCCAAATATGAACCTCCTGCCTGGACATGGGAGCACCACCAGGCACCCCCGGCCCTCCTGCCTGGACATGGGAGCACCACCAGGCACCCCGGTCCTGCTGATATTCGCCCTCCCGTTGCAGTTCACCGTGGCCTTCCATAATGATGAGTTCAAGGTGATGCTACCTGATGGGCACACGGTGACCTTCCCCAACAGGCTGAGCCACAACCACCTGCACTACCTAGGCATGGATGGGCTCCACATGTCCTCCTTCAAGCTTGGGTGAGCATGCAGCTCTTCAGCTCACAAACCTGTTCCAGCCCATTGCAAGTCCTGTCAGAACCACAGCCTTTAAAAGGTCCTGCACTTCCCAGGATTCACTCGCAGCTTCTGCCCTTCTTCTGACTAACTCCAAGGTCAAGAGCAAATAAAAGAATCCACATTTATTATTTCTACATTTAAAAAAAAACCACAAAAGCAGAAACTATAATATGCAAGCAAAAGGCTAGTTAGACAAAAATAAATGTCCAAACAAAACAATACAAGGCAAAAAGTCTATTTTAAAAATACCCTTGTGTTGGCTATCTACTGCTGAACATGGGGGCCTACCCTTAACTGTGGTTAATATAACCACTGAGACTATATTGGAGAAAACTAAGTTTTCCTTTGCAAGCAGATGTCAGTCTGGTGAGGAGTGGGAGCCTGTGTCCACTTTGCCATCGCAGCGCTGGGACCTCATCTGGTTTGTACTTGGGCAGGCCCTGGGCATGCTGCCAGTCTCTGAGTTCATATGGCATCAGTCCTGTCATGTCTGGAAGTCACTGTTTCCTTGGAGTCACCCATCCCCTCTGGCTCTCACAATCTTTCCACCTCCTCTTCTGCAGAGCTCCCTGAGCCCTGAGGGGAGGGGAATTTTCTATTCTTGATGGGAGGATCTGAACCTTGTGAGTCATGTTAGCCTAGAAAGGGTGCCCATATCAGTTCTCTCTGTGTCTCCAGGCAGGGAGTTAGACAGACA